GCACGCTGGTCCCTTTTGGCCTCGTGATCTATGAAGCAGTCCTTGGGGCTTAGGGTATGTTTCATCGTGGCACTGCCTGAACGACAGCTTTCCCCGCTCAAGCACAGCTTGGCAGTCGGTATTGCGGCCAGACGGCCCCCAGCTGTCATAAGGAGAGGTGGAAGGATGCTCTTGTGCATTAATGGCGTAGACAGGAAGCCAGACTGTGTCTACATCTGTACAGTTGTTCTTTGTGAGCATGAACATGTCACTTGAGAGGCTGATTTTTAATACATTAAGCATATAAATATGTTCCTCGGTTGAGCATGCAGATGTGATTTCTGAGCACCAGGGTGGTACAGTAAAACTCCATTAGTCCGCCATCCAATGCTCCGGGACTCCTGATGGTCCGGCACCACCAGGAACCCGGAAGTGCTGGGGGAGCTGGACAGGCTTCCCCCATTCAGATGCTGCTGAAACTGACCAGCAGCTGAATCGGGGAAGCCAGGAGCAGAGCAGCTGGGGAACTGCCGGGTTGGTCCTGTAGCGCTGCCCCTCGGGGCTGCGAGACCAACCCGGCAGCACTCCAGCTGCTCTTGGGGACGCCTGGGGCAGATGCTCTATTGCAGGCATCCCCGATTCAGCTTCTGCTAAAACTGACCAGCAGCGGCTGAATCAGGGACGCCTGGGGCAGAGCTAGACTATCGTAAGGGGGGGCTATGAGGGGTCTGGGGTGGCATCCCTTCCCACCCCACTCCAGACCCCTCATAGCCCCCCCTTCTGATAGTCCGGCATATCTGATAATCCAGCACCCCCTGGGTCCTAAAGGTGCCGGATTATCGGAAGTTTACTGTAACTGCATGAAATTAGATGCAAAACAAATTACTTGTGCATTCAGTAGCTATGGATTTGACCATGGTGATAGTATTTTTGCATGCAAATCAGCAGCCCTTTTGTGCCTTTATTTGCAATGTAAACCTTTGAAAACTGAACCCTGAATGGCCGGGCCTCAGTTTCCTTTTATGTAACGTAAGATAAATATCTCTTGCCTCATAGAGTAGTTGTGAAGCTACTAGTATGTAAAATCTCTGTGAGATCCTCTGGGTGGAAGGTGATTAGACATACCAAAAAGTCATTGTCGTTAGTATAATGTTAACATGGTCCAAGATTTACCTATCACTTTCTGAGGGGAGGAGTAAGATTAGCCTGGTAAATAATGAATTATTGAGCCTGGGACTGAATTCTGATCTCGTGTGCGTATGTGTAAATATAAAGTAACGCCACAGACCTCGTTGGTGTTACTCTGACTTTGCACCGGTGTAATTCAGTTAGACTCATACTCTCTCGGCACGTCTACACTAAAGGGGAAAGTCGACTTAAGATACGCAACTCCAGCTGGAGTCGTCGTATTTTAAATCACCGTCCACACAGCAGGAGGTCAACGGGCGCATATGCTCCTGTTGGCTTCCCTTACTCCTCCTGAGGAGCAGGAGTACCGGCGTCAACCGGGGCACCCTCCCACTTCGAATTAGCAGGTCTTCATTAGACTCGTTAGATTGAACCCTGGAAAATCAACTGCAGCAACATTGATCTTTCCAGTCGTGTAGACATGGCCTCTGTGTCTAGATTAGGTGGTGTTCTGATAAAAAGCATTGAGAATGGACAGCTCTCTCCCACCTGGCTGCTTTCTGATATCAACCTCCGTTGCTCAGCCTGTCTCTGAAATGTGTTTCTGGACCACAGGTAGGGTACAGCATCGGGAGGCCCTGAGATTGGAATTACATGCATACATTCTGCCACAGAGAGTAAATAAAGAGTTTTACATCATTGCTAGGGCTGCCTGACCAAATTGAGGTTTCCTGCTTGGCCGTGTGGGTACCATTAAACTTTCTGCCTCTATAGACCATTACATCTTTAGGTGATTCTGAACTGCTTCTTTTTAATCTTGCCATAATGAAATAATGATTAAAATGGGTTTAAAATGGAAAGAAAATGATGAGCCAAGAGCTGAATGGGATTTTGATGTGTGTTGCCTTATTTAGATGATACATTCATCAGACAAAAGGAGTTTTTTTTACCATGGTGCGTTAAAGTTTTGTAGCAAAAAATTCCCACTCCCGGCAATGGTAGCATTAGTATAGACAAGACTTCCGTAGCAACTGATGGTTTTTAAACATTGCCCTGTCTAGATCTATTCTGAGCAGGCTTGGTTAAACACCCGTGGTTCATCGACACTAATGCTCCAACTTTGGAGCTGTTCTAGTGTTCGCAATGGTGGGAAATTGACGTTAAAAAAATCCCATCAGGTAGACAGATTCCATATGTCTGTGAAGTTTATAGAAAATTATTGGGCTTTATGGAAATTGTACTGGTCTAGTTCAAAGAGGTGTTTTGGCTTATTCAAAGTGTTATTTAACCCTTACAAAATATAAAAGGTGGACAACATTTTCAATTTAAAACCAATACATTTTGCTGCGGGGGGGAGGTGGAGAGTGTTAAACTTTGCCATTTTGTTAAATTATCCTGTATCTTGCTGAGCACAGGAGAGCTCTTAAACTCAAAGAGATCTTGGCTTTTAGATGCAGAAATCCATTTGGGGACCAATTTATTTGAAAAATCTCTCTGCAGTGCTGTTGTCTGTGCTATTGTCTGTATCTCCCATGCGATTTGCCTCTGATTTTGCAGATTCCCTTTACATTGTAAATGGAAGAGAATGGTTTGGATTTTTTTTTATCCCTTGCTTTCTCCAGAGCCATGTTTTGAGGTGGGGAAGGAGGGCTTGGAGCCGGACGCGAAATTTCAGTATGAAAATATTTTTTTTTAAATGATGATTGTATCTTGGGAGGTTTTCTGTTTTAAATAAAATGTTATAGACATTTATTTAAGCCTCATTCCAGCAAGGTGCCTGCTCATTCCAGTAACCCTTTCTAGTATCTATTTTGCATTCTAAATTGCAGCTTTTGGGTGGGGAGGGAGAAAAACCAGATGATCCAAAGCACAGTGAAGATCAATGGGAGTCTTTCAGTTGACTTCACGGGTTTTGGATCGGGTCCCTGCTTGGAATATTAATTGTTTGGAAAGCGTGGAGTTGATTACTCAGTTGCATGTGCTTATTTATTAAGAACAACCATGAAAATCTATGAATACGCTTTTTGCCATTCAGAAATGATAATTGGCTTCAGAGAGGACACTTACTGTAGAAACAGAATATTTAGAGGATCAAAATTGCCTTGAAAGCAGGTGTTTATCTTGCTGTAAACATTGATTTGAAACTCCCCTTTAAAAAGGATTGAAAAGGCACCATGCTTTGGGGCAATCTACTGGCAATTTCTATATCAGAGAGAAAGAAAATAGTGATTTTAATGCATGATCAAACAGAGGATGCCTTTAACAACAACTGTTTAGAAAAGCACACCTCTTCCTGCTAGAATAAAAGGACACGAGAGTAATTTTAATTTATTTTTTACCCACATGCTATTCTTGATTTGGGTTTTTTTATTTGCTCTTATCTGTGGGAATCTGCCTTGGCTCTTTATAGCTCTATAATACCTCTTCCAGAATAGCAATGGACCCTTGATAAGCAAATGGCTTGCGGTTCTGTATTCATGTAGGCGCCAATCTTGCAGAGAGGCTCATGCATTAACTTTATCTAGGCGAGGTGTCCCGTTCACTAGTGCTCCTCACACACATGTTCACAAGACTGGTGCCTTGGCAAGGATTAATATGCACAGGTTTTACCTAGAGAGGCAAAGAACAAGCAAGGGAAAAATGTGGACGTTTCTGTTGGAAATAGCTCTGGGCCCGAGGCAAAAACTTTGGGAATATTAGTTCAGGCTCCTTTATAATGTCACTAGCCCAGGGGTGCGCAATAAGCAGCCCATGCGCCGGACACAATTCACCGGAGTTTGTCCCTGGCGGGCTGCCAGACATTTTATTTACCTGCACATTGGCAGGTACAGCTGCTCGAGCTCCTGTTGGCCACAGTTTACTGTTTCTGGCCTATGGGAGCTGCGAGAAGTGGTGGCCTGGCTGTGCCATTTCCCACGGCTCCCATTGGCTGGGAACAGCAAACCGTGGGAGCTGCGAGCAGTTGTACCTACAGACATACAGGTCCTTTAAGCATCTGGCTGCCTTCCAGGGACTAACCTTGATGAACCAGATCCAGCCTGTGAGCTGCTTATTACCCACCCGGGACTGTCCTATCAGAGAAGGGTTTGCTTTTCTTAATGTGCGAGATCTTTACTGCTCTTCGGAAAATGTTGCTTTTCATTGGCCGGGTTCTTCCTGTAGCTTTTGGGGGCTGACAGATGAGGACTTGGGGATTGTTCCTGGACGTGGAAGCTGCAGAAAGGTCATGAAAGTTTGAAAAGACCAGAACATCGATGTCTACCTCCTTATTGAATATCTCAAATGATCATCAACTCTTTGCACTGCTGGGCTGCTTTAATCTGAGGAATTCAAAGTGATTTCCAAAACTACTATATAAGCATCTTGGTTTTTTCTGTTAGTCAGATATTGTACCCTTAGTAATGGTTGCCAAATGGGCTGAGAGGATAAATGAAATGCCCAAGGCCTCAGAGAGGAGTCAGTGTCAGAACCAGGACTAGAATTCATCAGTTCCTGGCTCCTAGTCCTGTGATGAGATTTAGATCATGCTGCCTTCTCTTTTTCTTAGTTGTGGGCGTTCGCTGCTATTCATTAAACTCTCCTGGAAAATTAGCTGCCTGACTCATAACTAAGCAGGCTCCTAGATCTCGGGTAGCACAGAAGCTAAATGACTGACTTAATCATGAGGAATGAAACGATTACTGCAAAACACAACACCGAATTGTGCAAGCACACACATTTTTTGCATGAAAATGTGCATCTTATTAAGGTAGCGAAATTCTCCGCACTCTCATTGGTGCTGGAAGAGAAGCCGAGTGCGCTCAGCCAGCCGTTGCCAATGTTTTTAAATAAGGACGAACTCTGAAATCGGTTAAAGAGGCCTTCGCTGATCCGTACAATCACTTGCTTTTCAGGGTGACCGGCGGGCCGGCAGGACGGAGTGGACACCGAATGGTAGCCTGCAAGAGACAGTTAATTGTCTTTGGAGGATTCCACGAAAGCGCAAGGTTGGTTGCTCCAGGATTCCTGTATTTTACAGTCCGAAGGCATCAGGACTCTCACCTAGTCTGACCTCTGGCATGACACAGGCCAGAAGATTTCACCTGTTAATTCTTGTGTAGTTGCGCGAGGCTATATCTTTTAGACATTCAGTTGTGTCTTAAAGCTATCAAGCATCCACCGCACTCTGCGGTAAGTGGTTGCAGTGATTAATTACCCCCCTGGTAAAGATTAAGACGGTACTTCCATTTACCAAGTTCAGCTTTCAGAAACGATCAGAAATAGTCTTTTCAAGCAGGCATTTATAGCCCGTGCGCAACCTCTCCTCTGATCGGTTAGATCAATGAAATGAAATGAAGAACATGGTGTTTGGAGGTCTATGAGATATATCACTCTATTTTGCCAGTTCTGGCAATTGCTAACAATAAAAATGCTGGTAGGGAGGTAAAATCCTGGTTCGGTGATTAACTGGTTAAACAAAGTGTTTTAACCGGCTAACGCGCTGGGAGGAGGTCCGGCTGGGTTGGAGCAGCCCCCTGGCCATGTCCCCGGCGTGATGCCCTATAAGTGCGGGCTGTTCCAGCCAGTCTGGACCAAGCCTGCCACACTGCGAGTAGGGGTTCTACTCTGGCTGGGCCCAGCCCAGTTGGAGGAGCCCCCCGTTGGTTAACCGATTACCCAGGTAAGCTTGCCGGGAAAGGGCGTGCTTACCGGTTAACTTTTACATCCCTAAGTGCAGGCTGGCTGAGTGCTGGTTCACTCTGTGTACGGCCGGCCGCTGTGTGTGGGGGTGGTGTCTCCATGTGCTGCCCCCATTGGCTGGTTCTGGTGATCTCGAAGAGTAGAGAATGTGTTTTTTATCTTTTGTTGCTCCCCCCCTTTCAAGTTTAAATCCCTAGGATTCCACTCGTGGCCTGGTGGTGCCGGGACTGGTTTGGAAGTGATGGTTAAATACAGAGCAGAGAATCTGGAGGAGGGTTTCTGCCGTCTTGCTAAAAAGTAGCTTTCTCAGTAGCAGCGCGCTTTGTCATTTTCTGCCCTAGCAAATCACCATTTTATACTGTAGCTCCTGCCGTTCAGTCCCCGTGGCCGAGGAAACGGGCCCGCTTTTGAAAGGCCTGGCCCAAGAAGGGTTAAATTGCTTGTCCCACCTCTCCAAAGCATCCATCTTGTGTCCCTGAAGTAACATTTGACCCTGTGCTAAATGGCAGTCTGTCTCTGTGTGCCCTGATTAGAGATTACGTCTATTACAACGATGTGTATGCCTTCAACCTGGACGCTTTCACGTGGACCAAGCTGTCTCCGTCGGGGACTGGCCCTGCTCCTAGGTCTGGCTGCCAAATGGCTACCACCCCAGAGGGCAACGTAATCGTCTATGGTGGCTACTCCAAACAGGTAAGAGGCTCCTCTTGGGGAGCTGAGGTGGTCAGAGGAAGGCTAGCTCGCTCGAGCTTGAGAGACCTGAGTTAATTCTCTGCTCTGTCTGGGTAGCCTTCAGCAAGGCACTTCGCCTCCGCGTGCGCAATTCCCCTTGCTGTGCAGCAGTGGTCTCCAACCTATTCGCGCCCACGATGACTATCTGAATTGAAGGGCAACCCAGGATCTGCCCCACCCCTTTCTGTGAGGGGGGATTTGATTGCCACCTGCAACTGCCTGAAGGGAGGTTCCAAAGAGGATGGAGAGAGGCTGTTCTCGGTGGTGACAGATGGCAGAACAAGGAGCAATGGGCTCAAGCTGCAGTGGGGGGCGGGGGTCTAGGTGGGATATTGGGAAAAACTATTTCCCTAGACAGGTGGTGAAGCGCTGGGATGGGTTCCCTAGGGAGGGGGTGGAGTCTCCATCCCTAGAGGTTTTTAAGTCCTGGCTTGACCAAGCCCTGGCTGGGCTGATTGTGTTGGGGTCGGTCCTGCTTTTAGCAGGGGGTTAGACTTGACCTCTTGAGTATTCTTCCATTCCTAGGATTCTGTGATCTGCCCTGTGGCCTGATATCTCGGAGGCATCAGTGCCAGAGTGTCCCATTATTTTTCAGTTTCTGACAGACGGCACATCCTTCCTTGAACATACCTTCCGGCCATGCCGTGCCACCCCAAAGCGAACATTAATGCCCATGCGCCCAGGCACCTCTGCCGAACCCAGATCTCAGAGTGCCCCATTGCCACTAAGCCCTGGTCGCCGCTAGGGAGTTCTTTTGAAATACCAACTCCTGCTTTCCACGAGGAATAACGCGAACTGCGAAATAGTTATTTCGAAATAGCGTCAGTGTGGCGGCTCCGGTGCCGTGCTTTTGAAATAACGACTCCCCAGAGCCATTCCAAGTGATTACTCCCACTGCTTCCTGGGGCTTTAAGTTGAGAGAGCGCGTCCACATTAATGGAGTCTGCTTTGGACGAGGGATGTAATAGTGTAATTGATTAACCGATAAGCAAAAGCGCATCGGTTAATGCTATGAGCTACACACATTTCCCTCCCCTCCCCCACCTGCAAATTGTTTAGCAGGCTGGCCAGCAGCCCGGCTCAGTCCTGGCTTGCAATGGGTCCATGAACTCCCCTGCTGCGGCTCTGCATTTAAAGTGTATTAGAACGTGCAAATTGTTTAGCAGGCTGGCCAGCAGCCCGGCTCAGTCCTGGCTTGCAATGGGTCCATGAACTCCCCTGCTGCGGCTCTGCATTTAAAGTGTATTAGAACGTAAGAATGGCCGTACTGGGTCAGACCAAAGCTCCATCCATCCCAGTGTCCTGTCTGCCGACAGTGGCCAATGCCAGGTGCCCCAGAGGGAGTGAATCAAACAGGTAATGATCAAGCGATCTCTTTCCTGCCATCCATCTCCACCCTCTGACAAACAGAGGCTAGGGACACCATTCCTTACCCATACTGGCTAATAGCCATTTATGGGCTTAACCTCCATGAATTTATCTAGTTCTCTTTTAAACCCTGTTATAGTCCTAGCCTTCACAGCCTCCTCAGGCGAGGAGTTCCACAGGTTGACAACACGCTGTGTGAAGAAGAACTTCCTTTTATTTGTTTTAAACCTGCTGCCCATTAGTTTCATTTGGTGGCCCTTAGTTCTTATATTATGGGAACAAGTAAATAACTTTTCCTTGTTCACTTTCTCCACACCACTCATGATTTTATAGACCTGTATCATATCCCCCCTTAGTCTCCTCTTTTCCAAGCTAAAAAGTCCCAGTCTCTGTAATCTCTCCTCATATGGGACCTGTTCCAAACCCCTAATCATTTTAATTGCCCTTCTCTGAACCTTTTCTAATGCCAGTATATTTTTTTTGAGATGAGGAGACCACGAGCAGCCCGGCCCAGTTCTGGCTTGTGCTGGGTCCAGGAGCTCAGACGCCCTGCGCCCCCAGAGGGAGGCTGTTGCCACCCCACACTGCTGCCTCTTTATCAGAGGCAGCAGCACAGGGGGCCAGGCAGGCATTCCGCAAGGGGAGCTGGTTTTTAAACTAGTTCCCCTCACGTACCAGCTCCCGCCTGGCACCCCGTGCTGCTGCCTCAGATACAGAAGCAGCAATGCAGAGTTGCAGGGGGCTCCTCGGGAGTGGGGCCCGAGCGCACTGGCTGCTGGCCCCGCCTCCGGGGACTATAGAATTGTTGGCTAACCGATAAGAATTCATGAGGTTATTCAATAATTGAAATTTAGCATCCCTACTTTGGACTAATTTGGATGCTGCCTTATCGTGTGGACACGCTGTTTTGAAATGATTATTTTGGGAGTTATTATTTTGAAATAGTTTCCTAGTGTCGACAGGCCCTCCGACAGCTACATTCTGCCACTCATGGAGTAAAGCTGTAGTCACCAGGATCTGCGGGTGCTTTCTTCCAGTGCTGACAGGGTTACGGGCGCACAGCTAGTTTGCTCGCTCAGTCAGCCAAAAGGAGACCTTTGATCTGCACCCGGCTTCCTTTGCACCCCCTTCTTGCCTTGTTCTCATGGTAATTAATACAGGGCAGCCCTTTTGACCATATGTCCTCGCTGACCCAGTGTTCCCTGTCTCCATGCTGGGAGGCAGGAAGTAAATATTTCATTGGCTGCATTGAGCCAAAGCCTTCTGCAAATGCTTTTATTCTTTATCATGCAGACGGTAGCAGCAGGGTCTGGGTTTTGTGTCTCAGCAGAAAGGCAAATTCCAGCAGT